CAAAGAGAAGGGCCCAAAACTTAGTTGCAGACAAAAGAAAGATACAGTTTATTGCTTTATAAGCTGGTTTATTGTAGCTCTCATATCTTTTCCTCCTTCCACTTCCATTTTCCTCCTGTCCTTCCTCCTCTACAGAATTTAGCATCAGGACTATAGCGTGAGATAAGTCTTGCCACCTTCAGATTCAACTTGTTGCCTTTTAAGGACTCTGAGGGTAGGATAGAAGGTCGATTTTTATTTTATTCATTCATTCATTCATGTTTTGGCTGCACTGCCCGGCATGTGGGATCTTAGTTCCCTGACCAGGTATCAAACCCATGCCCCATGCAGTGGAAGCATGGAGTCTCAACCACTGGACTGCCAGGGAAGTCCCTTATTTTTAACTGTAAAGTTTCCTCTGCTGCATAAGCCCACCAAAAAACTACACATTTTCCAGTGGAACTCAGGCAGTGTGTCTGTGTACATTTTATGTGTATGTATATAAAATGTTTATATATGTAAATATTTGTATATAAATATATGTGTGTATGTTTATATATCTGTATGTGTAGTGCTACCTGGTTACTTAGGTAATGGGGTAGAAATGTTAAGTACGTGATTGTTAGATTCTCTCTAAAATCTGGGCTCTATCAGGTTGTCTTGACTTTTTTGATAGAAAGTTATATAGGTTCTTTGGTAGTTGGATAAAACTCTCACAATTGCTCTATCCCTGGGCTCTTGGGAGCACATAAGTAAATATTTAATGGTTCTTTTCTAGTACAGCATGGATGCTTAAAATATTAATTGTGGTCAACCAGTTGTGTGGTTTTTGGTGTTCTTCTGTGAGAACAATAACAGCACAGTTCTTTATTTTAGAACATTCTGCCTTGCTTTGTCCCTGATAATGTAAAGGTGGGCTGATTTCTAATGAAGACATTATAAAAATTGGACATGACTTAGAATTACAAAAAAGTTTATTCATCTCTGGAGACATTCTCAGATAAGTAATTTATGTTATATTTACATACTTGGAACTTCAGGCATATAGGTTAGGAGACCACCCTTCCTAATTTTTTACAGTAAGTGGCTTCCCTTTTCTGAAACACAAGATCGGAACGGGTTGAGGGGAGGGAGATGCTGAGAGGCCAAGTTACGTGGAGGCAACTGTGCAGGTGGCACTAGGACAATATCATGGAGGGGAGACACCCTCACTGCCATCACAACTAATACCTCACTAATGTTCCAAGTCGGGAGGTGTGGGGATTGTTTTGCACTCTACCTTCCCAGAAGATTCCAATGTGCTGCCAAGGTGAGGATGCTTGCAAAGCTCAAATAAGCTGCAGAGAGAATGTATTATGTAGCTACAGGCTTTAGTTGGACCTCATCAATTATAATTAACCAATTGGGAATTCCTTAATGAAATTTAAGGTTCATTCAGTAGTGAATGTACGTCGAGCCTCAATCTTGTACCAGATTCTTATTAGTTACTAGGAATAGAAAGATAAATAAGATATGGTTGATAAAGGAGCACAGTCTAGTGGAGGAGATAGAAATAATAACAAATAATGTAATACAGGGCGCATAGGATATTAAAAAAGAGGTGTCTAGAGTATTACTGGAAATACAGTAGAAGGAGCAGTTAACTCTGCCTGAGGTTTAGGATGTGGGATGAAGTGGGAATGGAATGAGAAATGGTCAGGTTTTCACAGAGGAAGTGATGAATTAAGAGTTTATCAGGTAGAAAAGGAGAGAAAAGAGGAGGTTTTAAAAAAAGTTTGTAACATGCAAAGATGTGAAGAAATTGAATAAGTGTTCAGGGATTGGTTGGAAAGCAAGATGCCTTTGAGATATTTGTAGGTTTTGCATCTAGAAAAGTAGATCAGAGTCAGGTGGTGAAGTGCCTTATAAACCACATTCAGGAATATGGATGTTATCTTGCATGCTATGGTGTCACAGGGTCAAATGCATACAGGGACTAAGTAGATCATCTTAAGAGTGAAGCTGGTCAGGTGTGAAGCAGTTGATAGCATTGAAGGCTCTAGTAATCTGGATAGCATGGACCTTGTTTAAAGGCATTTAAGTAAGAAATGTTTTTTAAAGTTTAAATTTAAACTAAAATGGAATACTATTTAGGTCAAATAAATCTGTGAAATTCAACCTTCAAGTGCCAGTCTGTAGTACCTTCAGTATAAGAGCCCAGTAAGGATAATAAGGAAAGTCGGTAAGATCTTTATAGCATTTCTAAAGAAGTATTGCAGAAATATAACTAAGAGTTGAGGTTGGGCTGGAAATGTGGAGGTGAGAACATAGTAAAAAGGTTAGTGTAGTAATCTAGGTAAAGTGTTCCAGCAAGCCAGCAATGCTTTCAAATAAGGTAGCTTGCACTTGTTGGCTACGCAGTCCCTCTGCTGTTAAGCTGCCATCATTGATCATACCCTCTGCCCAGCTCTGTTGTCATGTTGCTATACTGCTCCCCATCTTCATGTCATTTGTCCTGTTCTACTTCTCTGTGTGTTGAACAAGGTTTTGTTTGTTTCTCCATTGGTTCAGATTCTTAGATGAACACTCTGATGTTTCATAGAAACTTTCTTCTATTTCATCTGTAATTTAGCACTTTGGCACCTGGCTCCTGCTCCCAACAGCTCACGCTGGAAAGATTCACCAAAGCAAGCTACTGGTTTTTACAATTGTTGTCTTCAAAGCCTGACACTCTTTGGGAACTGGTTTAGTCTTGGGTGGAGAACCACCATTTTTCTTTTTTATACTATGCTGGTTACTCTCACCATCAGAAACACACTGCATTTGTTTAGAAGATGCCTTGATGAAATAGTTTCATTGGAACCTTACTTTTGTTTTTTTGTCTACTCTTGTTTTCTTCAGGTCCTATCACTGAAAATGAACAAGTATTAACATTTTACCACATTTATATTGCTTCTTGCATCCTCCTCCTTCCTGTATTTAGCTGTGTTATATAGATTGTAAACTCTTAGTCTTTTATGTCTGAAACCATTTCTTAAATGGTAGTTTAGCCAATATGAAACTCCAGGATGGCATCTATTTTCCCTTAGCACTTGAAGATCATTAGCTTCATTGTATTTTGGGCGCTGTTGCTGCTATGAAGTTGTTGTCAGCATAATTACGCCTTTGCTGGTAACCTATCTTTTCTTTTATGATTTTTCTCTTTATTCTTGCTGTTCCGTAGTTGCAAGGTATTTAGACATAGATTAGTTTTTTATTTATCCTGTTTATTTGTTAATATATATTTTCAACCTAAGGACCCTATCTTTATTGGAACATTCTTAGCCTTTTCTCCTTAGTATTGCCTCTGCCATTCCCACTATTCTAAACTTCTAGAATTTCTTTTTTTTAATAAATTTATTTATTTATTTTTGGCTGCTTTGGGTCTTTGTTGCTGTGTGCGGGCTTTCTCTAGTTGCGGCGAGCAGGGGCTACTCTTTCATTGTGGTGTGCAGGCTTCTCATTGCGGTGGCTTCTCTAGTTGCGGCGCACGGGCTGTAGGCATGCGGGCTTCAGTAGTTGTGGCACATGGGCTCTAGAGTGCAGGCTCAGTAGTTGTGGCACACGAGATTAGTTGCTCTGCAGCATGTGGTATCTTCCCGGACCAGGGCTTGAACCCGTGTCCCCTGCATTGGCAGGCGGATTCTTAACCACTGCACCACTAGGGAAGCCCTAGAATTTCTATTAGGTGTGTGTACTTCTCAATCTATCTTCTATGTCTCTTACCTTCTTTAAAAATATTATCACTTTATTTCTCTGTACTACATTCAGGGTCAGTTCCTCAGTAATATCTTTCATTAGACAATTGTTGCTCTTTGGACAGGTTTCTAGGTAAATCACTGGATCAGGAGTTTATGGCTGGTGACCTTTTATAATATATGTATGTAGGTAGGAAGGTAAGTAGGTAGGTAGGTAGTTAAATAGGAGGACAGGTCATCTGCTGATAATGAAAGATACCAGGGTAAAATGAAGGAGACAGAGAAAGTGGTGAAGGTCACTGAGATGAGTAATATCATTCATTTCTTGGTTAAAAAGCTTTTATCTAAGATTTTTAAAAATAAAAATCTAAGTAAAAGAACTGATAATCATAGTTTTTATGTTTTCCCTAAGCATTAAAGAGAACTTAGTTGTATTAGCTGAAAATGTGAGTGTGTTTTGTTTTTAATTTTATGTTGGCAGAAGATAAAGAAGAGAGGTATGAGAATTAGAAGACCTGTATTTCATTTGGTCTTGGTTTTGCCAGAACTTTCGATGAGTTATGTAACTTTGCCAGAATGTACCTTGCCTATTTTTTGGTATTATATTGCTTTTATGAAGATAGTTGAGATGATTGATTATAAAAAGTTTTTGAAAACCATAAGCATTGGTCATAAGATACAGAGATGCAAGAGTAGTGTAAACCACAGATTTAAGTTACTTTGGAAGTTTCGTTTTTATGCTTATTTTCTCTAAATTAAAGTGGATAATGTGTTAGAAATATAGTATTGTTTTAAAGGAGTTTTTTTTTTTTTTTTTTTTGCGGTACGCGGGCCTCCCACTGCTGTGGCCTCTCCCGTTGCAGAGCACAGGCTCCGGACGCGCAGGCTCAGTGGCCATAGCTCATGGTCCCAGCTGCTCCGCGGCATGTGGGATCTTCCCGGACCAGGGCACGAACCCGTGTCCCCTGCATCGGCAGGCGGACTCTCAACCACTGCGCCACCAGGGAAGCCCCTGCTTTTCTTTTTAAAATAGTCTAAGTATTTAATTTTACTTGGTTTGTCCCAATGAATTTACTTGGTAAAGTATTTTTAGAAAAACATGTGGATGAAATATTAGTCATTTAAATTAGATCATATCTGTATTCAACATCTACTATATATGAATAATTTATAGAGCTTTATTGTAAGTGCAACGGTTCTATGTAATCTAAAGCAGATGATTTTTTGTTCTTTTAAAGGCACCAGAACTAAATTTTATTATTTGATTTAAGATAAATTATACGTAATCTTTTTCTTGTTTGGCAGGCAACCAGATAAACTGGTGGTAGTTTGGACAAGGAGAAGCCGAAGGAAGTCTTCCAAGGTTTGTCTGTTTTCTAAATTTCTTACCCAAATATTGAATTTGACTTTTGGTCAAATTATTAAGCCTCTCTGGTCCCAGTGAAGAATATTTTAAAATATTACTTGATATTTTAGGTTATTTCTTATTATCTAATGTACTAAAATGATTGATCAGGCGCTGTATGTAATCTTGTTACTGCAGTTCCTAAAGCAGGAGCCAGTTACCTGAGTTTTGATTTTGGATTTGGTAGCCTTGAATAACATAATAGTTATTTAACTTCTCTGTGCTAGGATATCATGAAATAATGATTAAATAAATATCACTTACAAAATTATACCTAGGATTACTTTATTCAGATTCCAAGAGGATGAAGTTAGGACACACATAAGGAATGATGAGTTATGAGTCCATTGCTGGGTTACTGAAGAGGAGTTGGATTTTTCAAAGGTTTTAATTTTTTGTTCTTATGGCTTTGTGGGGAGTGGAACAGAATTTTATTTATTTATAATTAAAAAAAAAAATTTTTGGCTGTGTTGGATCTTCGTTGCTGTGCGTGGGCTTTCTCTAGGTGCGGCGAGCGGGGGCTACTCTTCGTTGCGGTGCATGGACTTCTCATTGTGGTGGCTTCCCTTGTGGCAGAGCACAGGTTCTAGGCGCACGGGCTTCAGTAGTTGTGGCACATGGGCTCAGTAGTTGTGGCTCGCAGGCTCTAGAGCACAGGCTCAGTAGTTGTGGCTCACAGACTTAGTTGCTCTGCGGCACATGGGATCTTCCCAGACCAGGGCTCAAACCCCTGCCCCCTACGTTGTCAGGTGGATTCTTAACCACTGCGCCACCAGGGAAGCCCAGAACAGAATTTTAAAATGTTCAGTAACAATTCTAGGTATTTTAAAAATTCCAATCTATAGACAAGTAAGTATGAGTATATTTTTATAAGCACACAATAACACAGGCATGTTTATTGAATGTTGGTTTTTCCGTAAGTAGACTTACGTAAAGAAAAATTTATTCATTTTAACTGAAATTAAATTTTAATTTAATTAAATTTCAGAATTAAAAATTTTTTAAGGGCATCTTTTTAAATTTTATTTTTATTGAATTAAAATTTATATATGGTATAAGTCACAGATCTTAAGTACACAATTTTATGAGTTTTGATCAATATATTGTTGTATAATTACCACTGCTATCAAGATATAGACAATTTTCATCACCTTTTTCCTTTGAGTCCTCTTCCAGTCAATTCCCAATCTTTAGAGGCAACTACTATTCCGATTTTTCTATCACCGTAGGCTATTTTTGCCTGTTCTTAAATTTCACATAAATAGAATCATACAGAAGTACTATTTTATGTCTGGCTTCTTTTGTACAGCATGTTTTCGAGATTTATTCATGGTATTGTGAATGTTGGTAGTTTAACTTTTTTCATTGCTGAGCAGTATTCCATCATGCACATATACTGCAGTGTGATTTTTTATACATCTGTTGATGAACATTTGATTTGTTTCCAGTGAATATTCTGAGTGTTCAACTATTGTGAATAAATCTGTTGTAAACATTACTGTTCAAGTATTTTGGGGGACAAATGTTTTCTCTTGGACGAATAACTTGGAATGGAATCAATGGGTAATAGGGTACATACATTTTGAACTTTTAATATACCCCCACCAGCAATATAGGAAAGGTCCAGTTGCTTCACCTCATGAATAGCATTTTCTTCAAAGCATACATTTGTAGTTTGGGGGCATTATATTTTGGACATGTAATATTTTCTTATCTATTTATGAGAAGGGGTTCTAAAAATAGACTTAGGGTCATCTGTCAGTTTTGCTCAGTGGGTCTTAAGCTTTTGTGAAAAGGAACAATATTAGGCCATCCACTAAGTATGATAGAAGAATCTGAATATAACTATAAACATTAGAAATCGACCCTAAATGTTTTTAGCTATCAACAAAAAGTGATGTCCCTCTTTTAGAAACTAGATACTAATTGTTTTCTTAAAACATTATGAAGCATAATGAAATACTTTAGATTAAAGGTCAATTCAGAATACCCATATTTGAAATTAAGTATACTTTTAATTTAATTACATTTTTGAAAGTCAGTCAAATAACTTTTAGGTCCAGATTCTATTTTATATTGTATCAAATATTGATTGAATCCAGATGGTGAAATACAAACATAGGCTACAGGTTGATTTTTCTCAAAATATAATATTTTCTAGAAGGAACTATTTCTTATTGGACTAATTTTCCAGTTGTGATGCTCTTAATATTTCAGATCCCTTTTGGATATTTTAGAATCATTGTATTTTCTCTTGAAACATTATAGGTGTACTTTTGAAAAGTTTATGAGAAGTTACAATGTGTTGTTTATTATAGCATATACATAATATGTTCATGTATATGTGAAATGCTGTTCTGTAAATTGTTCACAACAGCTAAATAAGGACGTAAAAATCAGTTCCAGAAGCTATGAAAGAAATGCTAATGATATTATTGTGAAAATTAAACAAATAACTTTTTTTTTAATCTTGAGAAGCTTGAGATCCATGGCATTTTGGAATTAAAAAAAAATAAAATTGTCCCCAGCTATTATTTTTTAAAAATTAGCTATCAGTTATATTAAATCCACAGACTAGAACCATTGTTTTCTTCTGAAAGACTCTTCTGTTTTCTGACATTTTTCCTTTGAAATATTATTTGCTTGCTAAGTCCCTTTGAAATCACTTAGGGGGAAAACAGATTTCTGCAACCATTGGCCAGAAAATAGTCTAGTTTTTACTTTTAACTGTGTTTCTGGAAAGAGTTTGAACTACGCAGTAATTAATTTTCTTTGGTTATCTGTATAAGTTATTATTTATCTTGCCTGATTCTGAGTATATCTGCCTTTTTAAATTATTTTATTGAAGTATAGTTGATTACCTTTTTTATATTGGTGGATTGAAATTTATAACTGACACCCGGATAACAGATTAGACAGTAAAATAATAAGGCATATTGCCTTATTTAATTTAAAGTTTAGTTTTATATTGGTGGATTGAAATTTATAACTGACACCCGGATAACAGATTAGACAGTAAAATAATAAGGCATATTGCCTTATTTAATTTAAAGTTTAGTTTTCAGTTTATTGCTCACTTTCTTTGGGTACATGTCTATTTTTCTAGTTAAATATATAAAGAACTCATTGCTGAATCATTTTTTATCGAGAAAATAATAACCATGAGTAATTATCCCAATATGCAGCTTCCCCGCCTCTTATCCTCAAGTCATGGCATTTATAACAGAGATTTTTTCAGGCTGTAGTGGATTTGTATATGCTTAAATAAATTATTTTTCAGTACAGTGTTTGACAATAGGAAGCAGGGAGATTGTGATAGTCAAGAAGAATTATGGCAGAGTAGTCTGTTGCCTTAAATCTAGTTTCGTAAATTTAAACTCACAGAGAGATGGGAGAGTTCCAAAGGGAAACAAGAGCTTGCAAGTCCTCACCAGCTTTTGGATGGCATTACCACCTCTACTTCCCTGCTCTGTGGTTGTACTATAGCCTTTATCAATGTGCTGTGGTATCATGAATGGGTGGGTATAGTTGTAGAGCTTTGACTTATGACCATGATATGGACAACTCTAAGATAAATTTATGTGTGACATCTTAAACCTATGGGTAGATGCAGTTTTATAAATTGAAAATCATCAATTTAAAAACTAAATTGACAGTTATAAATTTTCAGTGAAATATTTTGATTTTGTAGGAATCAGAAGTAACAAGTGAATATTTACTCTGTGTTTAGTTCCATATTAGGTACAAGTCTTTTAGGTAAGATATGATATGAAATAATTTGAAAATAAGGCATTTTATAGAGTCATTACTCAAAATTGAGAAATGTTACCTTTTCCTTAGGTCTGCCTTTGCTAAAGGATCTGTGATATGATTAAAAAGTGAAAAAAAATATGAATGGAACTGGATAATGTGGCTTCATCCTTTCTCTTGTTAACTGTACTAGGATGCTGGCAAATGATTAAATAACCTGCCTTTCCTGACTCTACTAAGGAGCTAGCGAAATAGCTGCATGTGTTTTGTACCAAATTATTTTCTAGGGAAATCCTTTCTGTTACTCTGAATAAAAACTGATCAGGGTTCTTGTAGTGCTGATGAGTGCCAATATGAGGTGCTTTTTAAAAAGTAAAGTTCTTAAGAACCTAAATTCCTGTCTCAGTTGATTCGTACAGTTAGATGTTTAATACTGCAGCTATTTTTAGTTACCTGTATTAGACTTTTCATTCTTTTTCTAGCTTCAGGTTCTTTAATTCTGTTTGAGGTAGAAGTTGTAGTAATACCACATGCCTCTGCTTTTCCTTCTGCTTTACTGACCCTTCTTTGCTGATTCCGCCTCATTTCCTGGACCTGTTATTGTTGTGCTCCAAGGTTCAGTTCTTGAGCCTTTATCTCTCTCTCTCTCTCTTTCCCCCTCCCTCTCTCCCTCTCTCTCTTTCTCTCTCTCCTCAATCCCTTGGGATCACATCCAAGTTTTAAGTATCACCTGCCCGCTGATGATTCTCAAATTTATAACTCCCGGCACATACATCCAGCTGCCTATTTAAACACCTACACTTGAATATCTAAAAGTTAACTTAGATTTAATGTGTATAAAACTGAGTTCCTAATCTTATTTTCCAAACTTGATCCTTCAGCAGTTTTGCCTCATATCTGTTAATAGCAATTCCTTTTATGTACTTGCTCAAGGGCGAAAGCCTTAGAATCAGCCTTGGCTACTTTCTTTCATACAATCAGACAGAAAACCTTATTGATTCTATCTTGAAACTATGAAAAAATATATGGAATCTGACTACTTTGTACCACCCCAAGCCAACTCACCATTAGCTCTCCAAAGGATTATTGCAGTAGCTTACTGGTCTCCCTGTTTCCTCTCTTACATCTGAAGCCTATTCTAAATACATTTGCTAGAGTCAAAAAACATAACTTCATCATTCCTCTGCTTAAAATCCTCCAGTGGCTTCCCATCTCACTCAAATTACAAACCAAAATCTTTGGAATGGGCTGTCAGAGCTTCATATGATTGGGCCCTGTGTGATTTCTCTAGTCTTATCTCCTGCTGCTCTTCTCTTTGACCACTCTGCTCCAGCCACATTGGCATTGTTGTTATCTAACTGCCTCAGCACCTTTCCAGTTGTTGGTCCATCTCCCTAGAAAGCTCTTCCCATGTTTTAAAATATCTGATTCAACTCCTTACGGTCTTCTCTCGTCACCTGCTCATTGACACTTTTCTCTGATTAACCTGTTGAAAATTGTTACTTTCTCTTGCCCCTTCCATCCTTCTTCCCTACTTTCATTTTTCTCCACAGCGTTTCTCTCTACCTAACATGCTGTCAGTTTTATTTAATTATTTTGTTTGACTGTCTCTTCCTACTATTCTGAAAACTCCACTAAGGCAGATTTTTTTTTTTTTTACTACAGTTCCTAGACAATGCTTGGCAGATAGTATCAGTTGAGTGAGTGAATGAGTGAATGAATGAACGAATAGTAGCTGCCTCATAGGGTTCTTATGCAGATTGAATGAGTTAAACATAAGTAAATTCCAAATATGCACTGACATATAGAAAGTACTTCTTAAGTGTCAGCTTTTATTACCACCTTCATAGCATGTCCACGGACCAGTCCTGAAGCCCAGAGAGATGAAAATTTAGTTGAGCTGTCTTGGCATACCATTATGCATTAGCTTTGGCTGGAAATGCCACCACAACGGAAGACCTAGAGTGGTGACCCCCACATTTCAGGGGGTTCCTTAGGGAACCTTGATAATCAATATTTACAAGGAAAAAAGTCTTTAAAATTATAGGCACTAGAAACATTAACTGTACAAACTGCTTTCTTCTTTACTTGACCCAAATAAACATTATGGTTTAGTGGGAAATGATCTTAAATGCAGACTATACAATTAATTTTTCCTTTTAAAGAATGAATTTGCCCTTAAGTTCCTAAATCACAAAGTAATTTTAAAAATGTTTCTCCTAATAAGGTTTTTATTCAATCCTAAATAGCTTTTGAAAATATGAGGCACCTCATTTTTGCATCTTCGTGTGTGTGTGTGTGTGTGTGTATGTGTGCGTGGGAGAGGGTAAAGGTTTGTTTACAGATAGTAATCTGTAGCTACCATGTGATATAACCGTCATAGCCCAAGTTTAATGCTTGAAAAGTTTTATTTGACTAATCATTTTTGTTTTAGGGAGATCTAATGGATAGTTAAATAGGGTCAATATATTTTTGTAAATTATTAACATTGCATTTCCTGTACTTCAAATTGAAGCCATTATTTTTATTCTGGTAGGCTCATAGCTGGCAGCCTGGAATAAAAAATCCATACCGTGGTGTTGTAGTGTGGCCTGTTCCTGAAAACATTGAAATCACTGTGACACTTTTTAAGGTAAGTTCCAGTTTTATAAGTTATAGGATTTATTATATAATCATAGTTCTAAATGATGGAATATTTCAATATTCATTGTTCTATACATTTGGGTCCTTAATGTGCAGTAAGGACCTTAATGTGCGTTATTTTTAGAGATATAGCAATTTATAACAATGTAAGGCTATCAGGGTGTTTCATGGTCTATAAAGTCCAAATAATTTTGGAGTCTTTTTGAACTTATTCCAATTAAGATCAGTTGGAATACTTCTTTTACTACTTCTTACATTCTCCCCACAGGGAACTTTAAAGTGCTTTTTCTGTGGAAAGCTGAGGTTTGTGGAATTCTTAGTCCTGACCCTCATTTTGTTAGCCTTGTTTGACTAATAACAAGATAGGTTTTTAAATTAGTATATGATAAATATTTTGTTGATGTTAATATAAGAAGATAAGTTTAAAATTGATTTTTGATAAATATTTTATAAATGTTAATATTTTATAAATACTATAGCTTAAAATAAAAATTCTGATAGTAAATTCCAAGTGCAGGCCCAAAATCATAGCTGTGCATATAGCTAACTCTTTTTATATATGTTTTTTCTTGAAAGTTTTCCTTATTTCTTAACATTATAAAATAGTCCTCACACATATGACAGTTATGCACTAGAATATTTACTTTCCTAACCAATTCCTTACCTGCTCAAAAAAAAAAGGTGGAGACCAATATGTCTCAGTTTCAGCCTTCTTGAAAGTGGTGCAGTTAGGAAACAAATGCTTTATTTCTTCTTTGAATCCTTCCAATTGTGTTGACGTTACTTTTGCAGAAGGACAGAATGAAGGAAGACATCTCATTAAGCACAAACATAAAGTTTGTGAAAATCCACTAAAATACTTTAGGATATAAAATCTAAGTTGAGCAAAGTTATATGGCTTAGAGTGTGAAATCACTGTGTAAAAAAATACTTTTGATTTTGTAATCCAGTATATTAATTCATATGTTCTGGAACTACTGCAGGGATCAATAGAACAAAACAGTATGATGAATGTTGATGTACTAACCCATGAATGGGACACTACTTTTAAACGCTCTGTTTCATAGATACTCTGTTTTATCAGAGATTCTTAACACTTTATGTATATTTTATAGTTTTGATATTGTTATTGGATCCTTTATAGTTTTGATATTATTGTTATTATAACTTACTTGATTATGCTTATCATGTATACACAATACTTGATTTGTTTGCCCAGGGAGAAATAAGGGATGAGACTGTAGCTGCTCTTCCTTTTTTTTTCAGGAAAGATCAGAACCATCCTATTACCCTTTAGTCAGCTGTCCTCAAAGCCTATTATTAAACCCCCCTTAACCATACCTCTGCTAATGAAATGATATAGTAAGATTGGTAGTTAACAAGACCTTTAGAGTACTATTTCATTTAATTCTTAGTACTTTAGAGTACTATTTCATTTAATTCTTCTGTAATTATTCCCATTGTACTGATAAGGAAACTGAGACTAAAGAAGAAGGTAACTTGCCCAGTCACACTGTGATTTAGCCCTGGGGTGGTGGTTGTTTGTTTGTTTTTGATTTTGTTTTACATTGTATGGGCTGTTCTGTAATACAAACCATTCTGAATATAGATTACAACAGCAAAATCTCTGACATGCTTGAGGAAGACTTTTAAGTAATCTCTTGTGTGTTTTTGATTCAGTCTGTTTATACTGGTAAAGCAAGTGAATGGACATAGTTACACAACTTTAAAAAAAAATGATGATAGAGAACAAGGGGTTAGAAGAGAGCCAATAAATGGCTGACAGCCATGTGTTTGGGCAAAGGATATGCACTGAGTGATTCTGAGTTGAAAGTGGCTGTTGAAATGTGTTACTTGGAGGATTAGGAGGTGAGTGTAGTTTTCAAGTGCTGATGAGAATGTTCAGCATATCCTATCACTGAACTCTTATGTCTTTAAGTGTTAGTCTGTAGGGAAAAAACCCAAATACCCCTTCCTCCCCATTTTGCTGTATTACACATATTTCTCTTCAGTTGTGCTATGGAGGCAAACTTGTGACCATTTAAAATACTTAAATAAATACTTAGATAAATAACTTTATCTTCCTGACTCTATGTCTTCCCAGAGTTCCATAGAAAAGCAGAAAAGTAAAACAAAATAATTTTTCGTTCTTTCATGGTAATTTTTTTTTGATCTTGCATTTAAAATATTCAAGTGGAAAACTCTTTCATATTTCCCCCTTCCTTTTACTTAAAGTCTCACAATTTACTTAATCCTGAAACTTGTAAATAGGAAAGGACTGCTCTGAATCCTTTTTGTCCTAGGTATGGTATTCAGAGTTGTGCTCATAGACAACGTACTTTTTAAAAAAGTTATCAATGTATTTCATTTTTCTCTGACTTAACCAGAAATTAATTTCTTTAGCCTGCATGCTTGATTTTGAAATTTGAATTAGATTGAAAATAGCTATTGCTAGTAAATGAAAAAAAAGAGCCTATTTTAGGGTTTTGAGAAGGAAAACAGCTCTTTAAGCCATTTTCAATTTTTCTCTTTAGTGCAATGGTAGTAAAAGAGACACTAGAGGGTAGAGAGTAGGATATAAAGAAGACAGTTGATTCAAGCTAGAAGCAATTTTTACTACAAATGTTTTTGTTTAGTCAATAATATAATTAGTTAATTATGTACATAGTCCAAAATGAACATTATTGTTGCTCCTTTACATCTTTTTAGTGACTTTGCCCTATCAGATATGTCCCTTGGTCCCATTAAAATTATTCTTTTAAGGGTAATATATCATCTCTGTTTCTAAAAAACGTTTCATCAGCTTTGAGAATTAATGTATATCATATATAAGTTACTGTTCAATATTTGTTAATTTGTAAGATATATATTCATTAATTCATTCATCAAGTATACTTGAGAAACCACTGTGTGCCAGGTACTTTTTTAGGTCCTGGGGACGCAGAGATAAAACTGAACCAACAACAGGGCTAAAAGCCAGACAGACCTGGCTGTCTTATAATCTATTGCGTTTTACCTTTACTTATTCTAATATCTGTGGAAATTCTGTACAATCCCACCTAGTCCAAATGCTTCCTCACTCATCAAGCATTTATTGTTCATTCCTCTAAGAAATGTATTGTCTTCTAATCTTTAGTAAAACCATGTATTTCATTCATCATATATGTATTTACATTAGTTGTTTGTCTTCGAAGGCAAGGACAACTATATTTGAATCCATATAACACCTCTACAATTCCTTGTATAATAAGTAGCTAATAAATATTTGTCAAATCCTTGCAAAAGTATGCCTCATATAGAAAAAAGCTGCATTTGGTGTGGGATCTGTTACCCTTTCTCAGGTTTCTGGTGGTGGAGGGTGGATGGGGGTATCAACATCCAACTTGCCATTTTGTGTAGATTATGAAGTCCTTTGCGGTACTTTGAAATTCCGGATGTTTATATAACCTCTGCACCAAGAAAACCTTGCCTCAAGTGATACTTTGAGTTTAAAATACTTAGAGGTATAGAAATGAGGGCAGAGTTTCATATGGGCATTTAATATCTTAATAAAGTGCTTCTTAATAGTTCACTCACTAAGTTATCTGAACCTGGGCTTCTTTTTTTTTTTTAATTTTTATTGGAGTATAGTTGATATACAATGTTGTGTTAGTTTCTGCTGTACAGCAAAGTGAATCAGTTATACATATACATATATCCACTCTTTTTTTTTGTTTAGCTTAAACAAGATAGAAGTTTATTTTTCTTATATAAACAATGTTTTGAGATAAGTAATCAGGACTGGTGTGGCAGCTCCACAATCATCTGGAACCCAGGCTCCTTCTATCTTCTTGCTCCACATCCTCAACCTGTGGCTCCCACCTCATGGCCCAAGATGGCTGCTTGAGTTCAAGCTATCATATTCACATTCCAGTCAGCAGGAAGGACGAAAGGGGGAAGAAGGGACTTCTCTCTGACACTTCAAAGACTCTTCCCTTGACATGGATTTGGCCAGAATTTAGTAACATAGTCAGTCCTAACTGAGAAATATTTTGGAGGGCCCTGTGCCCAGCTTAAAAATAGGGGATTCTTTTACTATATAAGAAGGGAAGAGCAGATATCAGAGTACAACAGCAGTCCCTGTACAAAAAGTAAGCACATTTTCCACATTTTACTTTCTGATTTCCCAACCCTTGGTGAACAGTTTTTTAATGTCCAAATTAATCTAAGAGAGGCTAAATCAATTTCCTGTTGGTTTTTTTTTTACATCTTTATTGGAGTATAATTGCTTTACAATGGTGTGTTAGTTTCTGCTTTATAACAAAGTCAATCAGTTATATATATACATATGTTCCCATATCTCTTCCCTCTTGAGTCTCCCTCCCTCCCAGCCTCCCTATCCCACCCCTCTAGGTGGTCACAAAGCACTGAGCTGATCTCCCTGTGCTATGCGACTGCTTCCCACTAGCTATCTATTTTACATTTGGTAGTGTATATATGTCCATGCCACTCTCTCACTTTGGCCCAGCTTACCCTTCCCCCTCCACATATCCTCAAGTCCATTCTCTAGTAGGTCTGTGTCTTTATTCCTATCTTACCCCTAGGTTCTTCATGACAGTTTTTTTTCTTAGATTCCATACACATGTGTTAGCATACTGTATTTGTCTTTCTCTTTCTGACTTACTTCACTCTGTATGACAGACTCTAGGTCCATCCACCTCACTACAAATAACTCAATTTCGTTTCTTTTTATGGCTGATAATATTCCATTGTATATATGTGCCACATCTTCTTTATCCATTCATCCGATGATGGACACTTAGGTTGTTTCCATCTCCTGTCTATTGTAAATAGAGCTGCAATGAACATTTCGGTACATGACTCTTTTTGAATTACGGTTTTCTCAGGGTATATGCCCAGTAGTGGGATTGCTGGGTCATATGGTAGTTCTATTTGTAGTTTTTTAAGGAACCTCCATACTGTTCTCCATAGTGGCTGTACCAATTCACA